ATACTTACTATGAGCTAAGGGAATTTACAGTACTGTACCTGTGCTGTTTGCATTTCTGTCTAATAAAATATTCAATCAATCAAACAGTTACATGTAGCTATATTTTGATCCAGAGGATCTGACTGTGGATGTGGGATACTGGTTTAAAGGAAGCACCAATACAGTATGCTGGTAATAATGTACTATGTTTGAGGGACTGGTCATATAGTACCGGGTGATTCCCTAACGCCACGATAATTTCCTCCTCCATTTTTTGACATGGGAAATAACTGCGGTCTGGCTCTCCCAACATACACGCGGTTTGATTGGCTAGCGCTTGTGCTGTCAGATTTGCATACGCGGGATTTGATTGGCTGACGCCTCCGTCGAGGCGGCAAAAGTAGAACATTGCTCTACTTTTGCAGCGAGCACCGCGAGAGAAGCTACGCTTTGCTCCCACAATGCAGTTCGGTGAATCGTGACGTCACCCCATTCAAAGTGAATGGGCAGAAGCGTTGAAGCGGCAACGCACGCCGCCGTGTGTAGGGGCCGTTATTCCCAGTCTCATACTGACATGTTGGTGTTGAGAATGAGAACATATTGCATCAATCTTTCTCCAGAATCGCATACAGCACCTTAATGACCTCTGTGATGTTGTTGATTTATTGTGTCTCTCGTAGGAGAAAAGCTGGTGATCGGCTTCACTACTCGAGCTACACTCAACAGGCTCCTTGATGCAGGAGACATTACACCGCAGCAAGTGCAGAGGTTCCAGCAGGCAGCAGTGGCGTTTCTGGTGAGGGCTGTGGAGTATGCCATGAAGAAACTCCACATGAGAGAGCCCCTGATAAAACATGCCATGTTTCTGGATGTCCAGCAGAGGGTAGAGTGTGGAGTGGAAGACGCCTTCTACTTTGTCGACAGGTTAGTTGGGGTATCAAGTCAAGTACATTTATCTATAGTGCCAAATCACAACACAAGTTATCTCAATATACTTAATAAGTAGAGCAGGTTATAGACTCTTGGCTCTTGTTACATTTTCTAAACATTTTCTTAATAGATTGTAAAGTTTAATGACCACATCTGAAAAACAATCCGTTTCAGCTACATTACTTGACCAGATCAGTGCACATTGTGTTCTTTTTAGGTTTCCTGAATTTCTCCCATACAACGGACCTGACGAGTGTGACAAACTGAGTGAGGAGTTTTTGGACTACCAGTCCATGGACATTGCCATGCCCGAAGACCCAGCCATGTTCGACATTGAGAGCTTTTGGGGGAACTTGGCATCAATGAAGAATAAGGTAAGAATTATTCTGCACCCTTTGAAATACCCATTGACGTAATCAACTTAATTCTATACAAAAATACTTGAGAGTAATTAGGCTTCCTACATTTTTCAAAGGTGACCGGTATGAGCAGATTTGGGAGGCTCTCCCGTATTACCAAGTTGGTGTTGGTACTTCCACATTCAAATGCTGATGCTGAACGAGTGTTCTCTGTGGTGGGACTGAACAAAACCCGAAAAACTGTTTGGCTCTTGATGGAACTCTGTCATCCATCATGACTGTGAAGATGGCAAACCTTGAGCCACAGTGTTTCAAATGGGAGCTCCCTCCCTCTGTCATCAAGGCATCAACACCTACAACATGAGACATGTCATGTAAACCAAAACACACAAACAAAGACATGCACTTTATTTATTTATAATATATATATTATATATATATATATTATTCTGGTTCTAATTTTGTTACTCTTAAAAAAAAAATGCACTAAAGGAAAAGGCTGCTATTGGTTCTTAAAAGGCTGCTATGTTTTCTTTATATTGACATTTTATAAATAAATGTATTTTATTTGTCAAACTTTTATTTGTTACAATTGTTTTCATTTCTACTTGTGCTGGTCAATTATTAACACTATATAAGCATGAGGAGGCCAACAGTGCAGGGAGAGCAGCTGGCAAGGGGGTGAAGACATCACAACAGTCTTAATGTTCATTTAAATTGAGATATTCCTCTAAATCAACGTTAAAAAAGGCAACAAAAACGCATCTTCCCCCGAAAGTCTCACTCCTACTTTTTACTGAAACTTGGCAGCCCTACACACACACACACACACACACACACACACACACACACACACACACACACCACACACACACACACACACACACACACACACACACCACACACACACACACACACACACACACACACACACACACACACACACACACACACACACACACACACACACACACACACACACACACACACACACACACACACACACACACACACACACACACACACACACACACACACACACACACACACACACACACACACACACACACACACACACACACACACACACACACACACACACACACACACACACACACACACACACACACACACACACACACACACACACACACACACACACACACACACACACACACACACACACACACACACACACACACACACACACACACACACACACACACACACACACACACACACACACACACACACACACACACACACACACACACACACACACACACACACACACACACACACACACACACACACACACACACACACACACACACACACACACACAAATAGAGCATCAGAGACAGCTATTAAGAGTCTATAGAGTTAATACAGAGTCTAAAGAGTGAGAGAGAGTGAATAAAGAGGGAACAGACCTGCTCTGTGGATCTGAAGCTGAGGCTGTAAAACAGCGTCCAGTAGTTTCCGGTGTCTCTCGTTCTCCTGCGATCTGGTTCCATTAGAAAGAGCGAGACCATCACTTCCGGTGCATCCCTTCTTCTTCTTCTCTTGATTTAAAGGCGGACTGCAAACAACTTTAAGGTGCATACCGCCACCTATTGTACAGAGTGTGTATCACCATATCATCCTATCACCACTTGTGGAATTATACCAGCGGAGGCTGTGGCGCAGTGGATTATTAGAGCGTTGGTGTTCGGATCAGGGGATCACAGGTTCAAATCCCACTGCAGTCAGCATGTCGTTGTGTCCCTGAGACACTTCACCCCAAATTGCTCCTGAGGGGATTGCAGTATTGAGTAAGTCACTGAATCTGTCTGTCCCCAGTGTCCCCATCAGGCTCCACTCTCTATCCTGCCTCTCTGACCCTGTCTCTTAGTTTTTCCCTCTCTGTTTTGTACATGTTGCAGTGTAATATGTTGTGTTCCACATTTTCTTTCACTCCACGGAGGAGATGTCGGAGAGAACGCGCTCCGAGGTGTGGTTAAACTTTACCCGTCTCGATGCTCGTGGACTAAAGTGCAATAAGAGTTTAGCATGTAAGGGCAGTAACACGAGCAATTTGTCTAAACATTTAGCAAAAGTGCACCACTTTCAGACGGAGAAATGCACCGTTTTCGACTGTCTTCCTAGTAGCTCTGTAGCCCCATCCACGAGTAACTTTTCCACGTCAGGTATTATGTATGCTATCAGAAACACACGGAGTTAACACAATTAGGAGGACTGTCTGAGGACCACAGATGGAAATGAGCTATTAGCTATAATCTGGCATATTGCATCTCTTCTCTTTGCTGAGATTAATGTTTTTGTATGCATGGTTTAAAAAAATAATAATTATACAAACATGGGTTAATGATTAGAGGTAACAGAGTTATTTATTTTGTTAAAGTTTCAGCTATTCTGTGTAAGAGAGAAAAACTAATATAAAAAACAATTCGGTTGCTTGCTTGTAACTATTTTCCAAGCAAAGTAAGTGCACGATTTTATCATGTGTAACGTTACTGTTTAAACGGCGGATAAAGCAGCTTCATCATGGCAACTTGACAACAGCTAAGCTAAGCTAGGCTAGTATTTACAGCATCCGGTGACTTTTCAGAGTTGTTGTGCCACCGTGGTAGGCCAGTTTCTTGTCGCATATTTGGCACACTGCCTTCTTCTTACCGTCGTCCAATTTAAAATGGTCCCACACAGCTGAAGTCTTCGTTATTTTGTGTTCAGGTGTGTGAAACGAGGTGAAGCGTGGTGAAGCGTGCCGTTTGCGTTCGTGACTGTGAGTGAACGCGAGGCTGAGATTGTATATATTTCCGCATTTTAACAGTGCAATTCAAGTATAAATATAGTATAAGAATATGGCAATTCGCCTTTATTGATATATCTATATATATATGCATATATTAAGGAAAAAAAATAAAATAAATAGAAACAAAATAAAAAAACGAATATCCGAATAAAGAAATTAAAACCCGAATAGTTGGCCAACGAACGAATATTCGAATAGTCGAATATTCGGGTACAGCCCTAACCGCCACCTCCGGAGTCGGCTTGACTCGGTTTGCATTTATAAAGAATGCACACGTGTTTAATCGTTAATGTCAGATATGTACTAAGTAAATACATTTGTTCCTGCTCAAGATTAGATTCAACTTTATTGTTATTGCACATATTACAGGTAGCCTACTGAGACAACGAAATGCAGTTTAGCTTCTAACCAGGTGCAACAAGCAGTAAAGTGAAAAGTAATGTACACAATCTACAGAATAAAATATAGAATGAATTGAATGATGAATAAACAGTGAGGGGTATGAATACACTAGATATACACAGCAGCCTGAGAGCAGTATAAACAGTGTGTATGAATATGCTAAGATATATAAAGTATGAAAACGGTAAGCAGTGCAAGTATAGTATAAAATATATGGATATTAATTTAATGATGATAAATATTGTGGAACAATGATGAAAAATGTGAATGGAAGTGGCGACGTAAAACGGACACAAAACAACAACAAACTTTTGCCAAGCCAATTGGAGAGTTTCATCAGCAGAACGTGGAAAAAACCACCAATGAGCGCTCAGCTCGAGATACCAGCGAGACGTTTCCCATCAAGCATTTCACTTCCGCAGCCCGTGGAGAGGAACTGCGCCGCCTCGCCGCGCCTCGCTCTCAAGGCTGCGGGCGTCTTTGTCCCGCGAGATTTCAACGTCTCATGTAGGCGAGCCTCCAGAGCAAGTCGGACAAAATGACTAACCATCATGCAACGCACTAGCAAGACGTTGATCGAAATTGCGCAGGTCTGCGCAGGTCTCGCTTGTCTCAAACAAGCCTACTGACAGGGTCTTGTTTATTTGTCTGAGAATTTGAGCCTGGTTCTCTGTTCTCCATCCAATCAGCCCTGTCTTCAGTGTCAGGTTCTGAAGAGTCTCCAGGGTTGTCCTCAGTCTGGCTGTAAATGTGTCTCTGGATCTGAGTTCCTGGCTGGTTCTGGTCCTCCACAGTCCTCTCCATCAGCGTCTGTTTCCAGGTGTTCAGCTGAGCTGCTGGCTGGAGGCTCTGCCTCTCTGTTCTCCTCAGTTTAAGTTTTGATGAAGCTGAGAGTACTGACAACCAACACACTTATGGATTTTGACCCGAGATCTCTGGGTGAATCTTTTGTTACAAACTCTGCAGCTGAATGGTTTCTCTCCTGTGTGGATTCTCATGTGTTCCTTTAAATCTCCTCTCCGTGCAAAATATTTCTTACAAATTGAGCAGATAAATGGTTTCTCTCCTGTGTGGATTCTCATGTGTTTCTTTAAATCTCCTCTCTGTGCAAAATATTTCTTACAAATTGAGCAGCTGAATGGTTTCTCTGCTGTGTGGACTCTTGTGTGTTTCTTTAAATCTCCTCTATCTGCAAAAGATTTCTTACAAATTGAGCAGCTGAATGGTTTCTCTCCTGTGTGGATTCTCATGTGTTTCTTTAAATCTCCTCTCTGTGCAAAATATTTCTTACATACTGGGCAGATAAATGGTTTCTCTTGTGTGTGGATTCTCATGTGTACTTTTAGATTTGACTTGCTGCGAATTTCTTTCCCACACAAAGAGCAGCCAAATGTTTTCTCTCCTGTGTGGGTTCTCATGTGCCGATTTAAATTTCCTCTGTGTGTAAATGTTTTCTCACACAAAGAGCAGCCAAATGTATTCTCTCCTGCACTACGTCTTGAATCACTGACAGGGTTTTGTTTATTTTTCTGAGAGTTTGAACCTGGTTCTCTGGTCTCCTTCAAATCAGCAATGTCTTCAGTGTCAGGTTCAGAAGAGTCTCCGGGGTTGTCCTCAGACTCTGGTTGTAAATGTCTCTCTGGATCTGAGATCCTGGCTGGTTCTGGTCCTCCACAGTCCTCTCCATCAGCTTCTGTTTCCAGGTGTTCAGTTTGTCTTTGATGAAGCTGAGAGGACTGAGGTTTCTCTTCATCATCTTCACTCTTCACAGGGACAGGAGTGAATGTGGACTTGGTGATATCAGCCTCCTCCAGCCCTTGAAGCTGCTCTCCCTCATGACTGCTCGAGAGTTCCTCCTGTTCCTCTTTAATGTGTGGGGGGGGGGCTCTGGGTCCTCCTGGTCCAGACTGGAGCTCCATTCCTGCTGCTCAGGGGGAACCTCTTCTTTAACCACCACCACCAGCTGCTGGACGTCTGCAGGAAACAGGAAACCCATATTCAGAGAAAACTGTATAGTATTAGAATTTAAAATCTAACCACGATTAACACTTCTTTAACTTTGCAGCCCTTATCCATTCTTTATTTTAAATGCTTTTCCAGATCGGTCGGCCGTTCACAGAGTGTGAGGCCTTAGCCTTATAGTTTGTGACCTGTCTGCAGAGTCGTTAGCTGAGAACTGGTGTTGGAGTTTCTCAGAGTAGTTGTTTAGCATCTCTCACCGCCTCGCTAAACCTGTACTTGGACTCATACAGGTGCATCTCAATAAATTAAATAACATGGAAAAGTGAGTTTATATCAGTAATTCAATTTACAAAGTTTAAATGTATACATCGGAGCGGAGCTCAAGTCTAGTTTCTCCACCTGGAGATATTCTCACTATTTCACTTTTGTCGAGCACAAAGAAAAGAACGTTTCTGTTAAATGTAAGTTGTGTCTTGGCGGGTCAAAGATCCTATCTACTGCCCAAACCAGTAATTCAAATCTCTTAAAACATCTGCAAAAACAACATGCTGGGACGAAGCTAGTAGCTAAGACCACAGAGACTCAGCCGACGCCACTCCACCTCCACCTAAGCAACAACGGCTGGATTTTAACCAAGGGACTGCTGGCCAGGGAAAAGTCGATAAAGCCATTGCACGGTATGTTGTAGAACACATGCAGGCTATTGCTACAGTGGAGTCACCCGCTTTCAGGGAGCTAGTTAGCATGATAGCATGTCCGGGCGGCACACGGCATATGGGACGGAAAACTTTTTCCAACTACCTGGAGAAAGAATATACAAAAATGGAAAGCCAGCTAATATCGATGCAATCCAGATTGCATATAAGGCATGTCAAGTTGATCAACAGATTGTATTATTCTCCAATGCAATAACAGTACTGAAAGGAAGGCTATAAGGGCATTAATGGGAGCCCTTTTTAGAAGTAACTAAAACGTTACTTTTCACAGTAACGCATTACTTTTTGTAAATGTAAACTAGTAAAGTAACTGAGTTACTTTTGCAATGAAGTAACTAGTAATGGTAACTAGTTACTGGTTTTCAGTAACTAGCACAACACTGGTAATGAGTGACCCGACAGTGAAGAATACATATATTTATAATGCCTAGTTTAGCTTGTTCCAGAGGTAGATAAAATAACTAAGTGTGTTAGGTCTAACTCTTGTGTGTTTCGCTCCGCTTACCGGTCCAGCGGGTGGAGCTGCAGGATTTCTGCTTCACACACGTTGCATACCGCTATTTTACTGGCTTTTTCGGACACATTAAAATAATGCCAGACCGGTGAAGCCATTTTGGCGAGCTTGTTTTGCCGCACACAGAGAAAAGTGTCATGTATTTTACGTCTTGCGATCGGCTCTCGCAATCGGCATGTTTAGAGAGCACCGATCGGTGGAGAGTGAGTATCGACCGATCTCGATCGGTGACCGATCGATCGGAGCATCCCTACATCACATAGATTCATCACACACAAAGTGAATTATTTTCCAGCGTTTATTTGTTTTAATCTTGATTAAATGAAAGCCAAAATCCAGCATCTCAGAACATTTTAATAATACATAAGACCAATACAAAAACTGATTTTTTATTAATATAGAAATCCTGTCCTTCTGAAAATCAAGTTAATGTGTATGCATTTAGTACTTGTTTGGACCTCCTTTAGCGTTTGTCTTTTAAGTTATCCCAGTCCAAAAGGTGGGATCAGTTTATTTGAAGAAAAATAGGTCCAAACTAATACAGGGTTTTTACCTTCTCTCTTTACAACATTATAATCATACTAAAAAAATGGTGCTGTGATCATGTTCAAATATGAAACTTGAATTCACAGTCTTAGGTTTATTACCAAAATGTTTTAATTTCAACTGCCCAATTCAGTTGTGACATTTTAAAATCTCCCGATAGAATTTAGAGGTATTTCCTCATAAAAAGACCGGTGACAATAAAAAGCGCATTCAACTTTTCATTTACCAAATCAATTCAGTTTCATACCTTTTTTCCGACACAGATGGCGGGTACTAACATTCAAAAACACACTCCTATCCGCCAATATTTCGGAGGAAGATTCCTCACAGGTCGCGGGTTATAATATTCACAAACACATCTCTCATCAAATCATTCCACTCAGCCAACAACCAAGACATTCGAGAGATATTTACCACGTGTGTGAGGACCTTACCGAGAGCTATTAACCCAGCTCTGAAGGACAAAGCCTACCGGGAGAGAGTCTACCAGGGGTTTCCCCCCCTCTCTCTCGCGCTCTCTCAAAAAAACCAGTCTCTTTATGCTCAAAAAACCGGAACGAAAACCCAAAAAAACAAACTCCTCCTCTACACCCAATTTGTGGAAAACTGGGCATGGCTTCTACTGTACAGGGCTGAACATGACCCGACATGTTCCATAGCTTATGGCATAAGACACACCTTCCTATGTTAGTGTAAAAAGGACTTGACCCCTTTTTGAGGCCTCTAATGTGTTTCTCCTTAAGCCTGGAGCCCCCCTCCCTGTGAACTGCTGCCAGAGGAGAGGGAGAAAACGGCCTACTCTCTTATCAGAGACACCCATGAATAATAGACCTTACACACTCAACCTAAACAAACCACTTTGTTTTGTTTATACTGTAACTATAGAAAAACCTAAAATATGAAGTATTTTTCATTGTGGGTTATACAAAAATATAATTGATTATAACTAACTTTCGTTTTAAGTATTAAACATACTATGAAAACTCACAACACCCTCTTTTCAAAAGGCAAAGTTATCAAATAGCAACAGAACAAATTGTAAGCATACATACATATTCAAAAACCGTCAAGAAGCATTCTCATTATAGGTTTATACAAGAATATGATTGATCATATATGATTTATAATTAACTTTCGTTTTTAAGTATTCACTTCATACTATGATCTCAACACTGGTTATGATCCACTGCTGTCTGCCCGTCTTTGGTGCTCCACAACTACCCGAAGGGGCAAGTCTCCTGTACCGGGTGTACTGGGTTCGCAGAGAATCCCACTTCTTCCTCAGCTCTTTCTCTGAAGCACACAAATAAACGATGTAAGCATTGTGGCTAGTTAGCATGTCCAATTCATATCTATATGCAGTGCCAAACTGCACAGCTAGCAACAGCTAGCAACAAGATAACAACAAAACACAAGGTTGAAATAACAAATTACATTTCACGTTAACGTCACTGTACGCTGACAAACAATAAAAAGCCAACACTATCTGCTAAAGAGCTCAATTGATGAAAAAGATAATCTTACCCGAGAAACCAAGTTGCGTTTCAATCTCTCGCCAGAGTCCAGTTTTCACTACTCGGTTCGAGTACTTTTTCTCTGTGATGTCGTACAGAGCTGGCCTCTCCTGGATCAATGTGATGAGCAGGTCTTCGTTTCCGTCATTCCAGATCGCCATGATGAGATGAAAATGAATATCAGTCTGTGTGTGCCTTCTTAAATCGTTTGTTTACGTCCCTCACTTCTGTTTCGCTTCTCATGCACTGATTCGCTAGCTGAACAGCCAATCAGAGTGATTGTTTGGTCCGACTGCCAGACCCAATGCATGGCCGATTCAACATGTTGAATCGGCCATGCATCGGGTCTGGCAGTCCAAATAAGGCGTGTCACGGTCGACGGTGTGAGACACACCAAATTGAGTTTGGGCGACAGGACACGCTTCCTCTCCCGACTTACGAAAACAGCCGAAATCGGCCTGGTGTGTCAGGGCCTTAAGTTATCTCAGTGGGTCTCAAACGTTTTGATCACAATTTACGTAAACACATATTTCCAAGGCACTCCTTTATAATTATTGGGATAAAACAGGTTTGAAATCATTCCAATGTATACTATAGGACAGTAAACCAGACATATGGTTTTAAACTGGAGAGATACAAAAATATGCATAAATAAAATAGTAAAATAAGATATGAATGAACAAAAATAAAACACGTTACATGTATTTGTTATTGGCTATGGTAGGTTATTGGTTATGCTCACATACTTATTTAATTATTAAAATGTAAACCGATCTTTTTCATATGGGTGTTTAGAGTTGTACCCCCTAGATCTAGTCTCTAATCATTCTGCTTAAAGTGCACCAGATTGAAGCATTTTACTTTAAAATGTTCAAACATTTCTTCCCGGTATGCCTGAGAAGGCAGATATGCTTGTTTTTCTCAACAAGAACTGTTTTTAAATGGGGGGGGGGGGGGGGGGGGGGGGGTTCCTTTAAAAGTTGGACTGTTGTAGCTTCAGTGGTTCTCAGGTTACAGTTACATAGTAGTGAATATAAACAGACTGATTAATGTGAATATTACTGTAAACTAACCTGTGTAAAAGTTTCTCGAATAAATGTAATTGTTTTGGTGGAAGAAGCATGTATTATTTTTTTACCCTGCCCCTCAAAGAATCGGAATTGAGAACCGTTAAGAACCGGAATCGAAAAGTAGAATCGGAATCAGAATCGTGGAAATTCAAACGATACCCAACCCTAACCGTCAATGTTCTCTTATGCTCCAACACACAGTTGCACAGGGTGCAGAATAGTTTCCCCCCACTTTCGTGCAAGACATCGGGGTACTGCTTTGCCCGGTCTTTAGCAGAAATGTTCGTCATGAGATGGATTAGATTTTTTCATCTTGGTGTTTTCTCTCTCGTGTGAGCTCCACACGTTCACTCTACGGTGTTGTTTACCTTCTGTGATGCGCAAGCTGATGACGTCGCGTCATCATCATCACTTCACGTCAAGACGAGTTAACTTTTTTTTCTCTCAACTTTGTGTGGCCTTTTAAAAATTTGCGCCATTTTGCTGATTATGCGGTAAATTTATCGCGTTTTTCTGGAGGGTCTAATTTGAGCACAATGGACTTGTTTCTGTGCTTAATATTTGTTTTAATGCACATTCAGACTCGACTTAGAGCAATGATGTTTTATCACACTCAGAGCAGGTATCACGTTATACACACTTACTGGGACAAACTCAAAGAGTTTAAACCTAATAATAATCACTGTCTTCAGTCTCAGGTTCTGAAGAGTCTCCAGAGTTGTCCTCAGTATCTGGTTGAAAATGTCTCTCTGGATTTGAGTTCCTGGCTTGTTCTGGTCCTCCACAGTCCTCACCATCAGCTTATGTTTCCATGTGTTCAGCTGAGCTGCTGGCTGGAGGCTCTGCCTCTCTGTTCTCCTCAGTTTGAGTTTGATGAAGCTGTGGGGACTGACGACCAATACACTTATGGATTTTGACCAGATATCTCCGGGTGAATCTTTTGTCACAAACACTGCAGCTGAATGGTTTCTCTCCTGTGTGGATTATCATGTGTTTCTTTAAATCTGCTATCTGTGCAAAAGATGTCTCACAGACTGAGCAACTGAATGGTTTCTCTCCTGTGTGGATTCTCATGTGTTTCTTTAAATTTCCTCTGTGTGCAAAATATGTCTTACAAATTGAGCAGCTGAATGGTTTCTCTCCTGTGTGGACTCTCATGTGTTTCTTTAAATTTCCTCTGTGTGCAAAATATTTCTTACAAATTGAGCAGCTGAATGGTTTCTCTCCTGTGTGGACTCTCATGTGTTTCTTTAAATCTCCTCTGTGTGCAAAAGATTTCTTACAAATTGAGCAGCTGAATGGTTTCTCTCTTGTGTGGATTCTCATGTGTACTTTTAGATTTGACTTGCTGCAAATTTCTTTCCCACACAAAGAGCAGCCAAATGTTTTCTCTCCTGTGTGGGTTCTCATGTGCCGATTTAAATTTCCTCTCTGTGTAAATGTTTTCTCACACAAAGAGCAGCCAAATGGTTTTTCTCCTGCACTACGTCTTGAATCACTGACAGGGTTTTGTTTATTTTTCTGAGAGTTTGAACCTGGTTCTCTGGTCTCCTTCAAATCAGCACTGTCTTCAGTGTCAGGTTCAGAAGAGTTTTCATTGTCAGGTTCAGAAGAGTCTCCAGGGTTGTCCTCAGTCTCTGGTTGTAAATGTCTCTCTGGATCTGAGTTCCTGGCTGGTTCTGGTCCTCCACAGTCTTCTCCATCAGCTTCTGTTTCCAGGTGTTCAGTTTGTCTTTGATGAAGCTGAGAGGACTGAGGTTTCTCTTCATCATCTTCACTCTTTACAGGGACAGGAGTGAATGTGGACTTGGTGATATCAGCCTCCTCCAGCCCTTGAAGCTGCTCTCCCTCCTGACTGCTCCAGAGTTCCTCCTGTTCCTCTTTAATGTGTGGGGGGGGCTCTGGGTCCTCCTGGTCCAGACTGGAGCTCCACTCCTGCTGCTCAGGGGGAACCTCTTCTTCAACCACCACCAGCTGCTGGACGTCTGCAGGAAACAGGAAACACATATTCAGAGAAAACTGTAGAGTATTAGAATTTAAAATCTAACCACGATTAACACTTCTTTAACTTTGCAGCCCTTATCCATTCCTTATTTTAAATAATTTTCCAGATCGGTCGGCCGTTCACGGAGTGTGAGGCCGTAGCCTTATAGTTTGTGACCTGTCTGCAGAGTCGTTGGCTGAGAACTGGTGTTGGGGTTTCTCAGAGTAGTCGTTTAGCATCTCTCACCGCCTCGCTAAACCTGTACTTGGACTCATACAGGTGCATCTCAATAAATTAAATAACATGGAAAAGTTTATATCTGTAATTCAATTTATAAAGTTTAAATGTATACATCACATAGATTCATCACACACAAAGTGAATTATCTTCCAGCGTTTATTTGTTTTAATCTTGATGATTAAATGAAAGCCAAAATCCAGCATCTCAGAACATTTTAATAATACATAAGGCCAATACAAAAACTGATTTTTTATTAATATAGAAATGCTGTCCTTCTGAAAATCATGTTAATGTGTATGCATTCAGTACTTGTTTGGACCTCCTTTAGCGTGAATAACTGCATCAATGCGGCACAAATCTCTCTATTTCAGCGTGATAAGCCGATGAACTGCTGCCTTTGTGCATTAACCTGTTTTAAGCCTGAGCCTGTTTTTCAGGTCTCAGGCTCGAAAATGACATTCCCAGAACAAATGACTATATCTTCCCTTTTAAAAAGGGGTAAATTAATAATTATTTTTCTCAAATTAATGATAAACCTGTGAGTTGGATGTAGAAAAGTCAATCAATATACATTTTGTTTATTTTAAAGTAAATTCAGATTGAAAATAGTAAAAAAATGTAAATGATAGTGTCCGTCCAAAAAAAAAAAACAGTACTTATCGTGAAAACCACCCTTGGATGATGGGATAGTAGACTAAAAGCTTTAGGAATCCAAACTATAACATATAATAAGTACCCTGTATCAAGATTGATATAAAACAAGTGAAATTTGACCTTTTTAGAGAGATTTAGAAAAGAAAACCCACTTCTGGGTCATTTGGGTGCATTTTCCATATCTCTGGCCCCCCTCGTTCGATTTTGATGATTGAGATCTCTTCTTAACCGTTAGAGCCAATAGAATTGAGGGGAAGTTCCTAAAATCCATCTAAACATTACCCATTGGTGAATGAGTGATGCGTAGCCAGAATGCCCCGGAACCGGAAGCTGTGATACACTCAGCTAATATGAAAACTCCGTTATTGACATAAAGTGAATGATGGATTATCAGTAATCATTTCAAAGTGACACAGACACATTGGATTAACCTTCAGCAGCGTTTTTATTGTTTTAATGCCATTGAACACGACTTTTGATCAGAAAAACAGCTAAGGTAAGACGATGTCCCGTGAATGCTCCGTAATGTTACGTGGTGTGATGTCTGCTTTGCTTCCCATGTCGCGAGTTCTATCTCAGTGATGATACTTATACGTCTGGAATCTGTGGAATCTCAGCTTGCTAATCGATATCTTGTTTGTACAGATCCGATAAGTAATAAGGGTATTTATACCTAGAGTTCTGTGCCAAGTGTGTTAGTATTTTTTCGCTCAGGGCTCATTTAGATGCTTCTTGTGACACTTGTGTTTTGTTTCGGTAAAAATTGTTCGTATCGTCAGTTAGCTGAGTTTCTTCCCGTTACGTGGGTATAACACAATCATAGGTTTTTAAATGTTAAGAAGCCCTGAGACACAGTTTCGTGAGAAAAAAAAACCAGAGAGCCCCCGCTAAACAGGTTAAGCCAGTGGTTCTCAAACTTTTTCTGTCGGGCCCCCCCCCAACACAAATAGTCAGGCTCAGTGGCGGTGACAGAGATTTATTTTGAGGGTGCTGTGGGGTAGCTTGACGTTTCATAGAGGGTGCTCAAACATTTAGGGTTTCCCATTAATGTACTGGGCGCTACAGAGGAATGTTCTACTGCAACAATCCCCACGCATATACACAGTGTGACAGTTACAATGAAGGCTCGATAATCAGCTCACGGCATAAGCAGGGGTAAAGTGCTATTTTTATAGGTGGTGTGTGGACCTCACATAGGGGGGTCCGGGGGCAAGCTCCCCCGGGAAGATTTATTTTTAAATATTGAAGTTAAATGCATCAATCTGGTGCACTTTGAGAGCATCTCTCAAAACCCACATGAAACAGAACTGTGAAAAGATTTACTTTTTCTTTATGGATATTTTACTAATCACTCTCCTTTTAAACTTTATTCTTTTGTTACTGTCATATATTATTTCATACCTGTTATTCATTTATTCTCTTATTTTTTTATAACTATAATGATCATATAAACGTGTGCCTCGGAAATAATTGTTTATATTACTGGTGACCAAAACGTGTGAGACCCACTGAGATAACTTAGACTAAAGTGAACTATCTAAACACTGAGACAGTCCTTTAGTTCACTGAGTCTCTCAGTCTGACAGGAGAGGACTCCTTATATCCGTTAGCGTAGCTCGCTGGCACCAGAAGCTAACAACAACGATCTCCGGTACCGGTGCGCTCTCTCGCGCGCACGCACACAAAATGGCTCATTCCACACACACACAGAGCCGAGCTTTAATGAAACACAGAGACTCAGACGTGATAGTACTGTATCATATTATTTTCGAATCAATAATCTTTCAATTTATGATTTTTTCTTTTTAATAACCATTTTTCCTCCTGGTCTCAGCAACGAAGAAGAAGACTTCCCGCGCATGGTTGCCCTTCTGTTTATTCTCCGCTGTGGCTTTTTTTCTCCCTACCCGAGGCAAGCGTTTGCTCCTGCAGCTGTAATTCAATGCAATCCCTCCCCATCGAGGCCAGCACTGTAATTATCTCCGGTTAGTCCACCAGCAGATGACAAACACCCACCTCTCCGCCTCTTCCAAGGAACGAGGGGACCGTGCGGCAGAGTTTCAGTTAGATTTTTTTTCGCCGGTCAACATGTCCGTTAAAGTTTAAATCTTCCAGACAAAATTAGAAAAGTGCTGGTCAAAGGTCTTCTTTGTTATTTATTGAGCTTTAACCTCTTAAGCCCCACGGACACGAGCTCAGGTCCGAAAATGCTATATATGTAGCAACAGTGCTATATCTGAAGTGTCATTCATGAAACTATTAATATTCCATACCCATCTGACCGGAGGAAACTTGGCTAACTGACGATACAAAAAAAAAAATGTTTTTCGAAAAATAAGTCTCACAAGAAGCCTCTAAATGAGCCCATGGCAAAAACGGGCAATTGCTATTTCTGCTCATAACTCACAAAAACGATCATTTATAATTCATACTTTCTGCACAAACACATTTTCTGAAAGCTGAGATTCCACAGATTCCATGGGTGTACACCCCATCACTACAGGCACAACATTAACCGAGCTAGCAGCCAGAACATAGCAAGTAAACAATATCAGTTTTCAAATCCATGGCAATAATTAGGTCTTACCTTGGCTGTTTTGTGATCAAAAGTTGTGTTCAAAGGAATAAAAACGCTGCTCAGGGTTAATCCAATGTCTCTTGTCACTTTAAAATGATTACTGATAATCAATCCTTTCATTCACGGCAGAAGAGTAGGTCCAACGATTAACAGTCCGTGGCTTCAGCTGCGGGAGATGCAGTTTACGCATAGCTCCCCCTCCGCAGGGGTAACGTATTTTGTATTTTTGGCTCTAACGATTAAAAAAAGGTGTCAATCACCCAAATCGACCAATGGGTTCCAGAGATAGGATCTTGCGTAAGTATAAGTAAAGGCAGTATAGCTGGTTTACGCACAGCCCACTCTTTTTACGCAGCATCGCATAGCATAGCATAGCATAGCATGTCCCGCGGCAACAGGAGAGCAGAGAACGGCAGATCGATCAGCAAAACAGCAGGATTTGTTTTCTTTGTCTTCATTGTAACAATGGCAGCCAGAAAGAAGACTTTTTTTGTCCGTCGAGGAGGCATTGGACATCGTATTTCAGGACTCTCCGTCGGAAGATAGTGATCTCGTCAAGCATAAAGGGGACAATAATGACTCTGATTATGAACTTCAGTCCCCGGAAAGGTAATCTGTCTGTTTGTATCTATTACTTATTTATTTGGTGTAAGAGTATTCATCTGTTTTTATCTTTTTGTTATTTATTTGGTGTAAGAGTGTATTCATCTATAGTAATTTCACACACGTGACAATCACATGACGGCATCCATCTTGTGATATAATGTTCTTTCACACACTCAACAACAAAGAAGATGGATGCCGTTTCTTGTTCTTGTTGTTGAAATAAACAAGACATATACATGTTGAATTTAACACGGTATTACATTTCATTTAGCTGATGCTTTTATCCAAAGCGACTTACAATTATTACTTATATTATATATATATATATATATACACACACACATGCATACAAAATATGTATATACACAATATACATATATAAATATATGACAGACGGAATATTATTAAATATTGAAAAGATTATATGAACCCCGTCTCACATAATTTACACGGTATACATTTTGAGTGATATAATGTTATTTCACACACTCAAAATTGATGTTCTGCTGTTGTTGTAGAGAAATTATTTCTGATTTGAGTTACATTTTTGAAAGTACAAGCCAGAGAATTAATCTATTTGTTTTGTCCACATTTGTTTTCACAGTGAGGAAGGCGATGAGGATATGGCTTCTGGATGCCCGAGTATTATGGGGAAGATGCCACCAAGGTCAGGAGGTGCTCTGATGCTGACAACTGAAGGGTGAATACACCTGTGTACTGCAGGAAGTGTCAGGTCCCTCTGTGCTTCACTACCAAAAATAACTGTTACAGGGCATGGCATGACTTACTGGAGTAATACTGTAACATTCAGGGTTTGTATAAAGTTGTTTTTTTTTACCCAAAAAATGCTTGTTGTTTAGTGTGTTGCTATTTTTTTTTTATAAATCTGCTCCAGTTGGAGTCAAATGTTTCCTACGTTTCCT